TCTGATGTTTCAGACTGCAATGATATCTTCATATCAAGATGTGCTTATTCCTGAGCAGAGACCTGTTTGGCTCAGGACACTGGATTTCTTAGAGGAAGAACTGGCAGTACTGACAGAGGGTAGGACCCAGAGTGTATTCACCCCACCACCATGACATGTGCTGTCAACACAGTTTTTGAAACTGATGTGGTTTGTTAACTGCCAGGAGCTCATCAGCAAGCATCTCCCAGGACTAATCCCTAAGAAGCCTTAGTGTGACAAGTTCAGACAGGACTGAAATAAAATCAGTTCCCTTCAAGCCCTTATTCAAGAGTACTGAACTACTCCCACTGACTTTAGTGGTCTCTGTTTAAAGCAGTTGGTTAGTTACTGCTGTATACAGCTGAAAGTATTTGCTGATTATTTATTGTCAGTATATTCAATTGATCAATCAAGGATAATATTTCCTTTTTTTTTAATCTATTTGTGTTTGAGTTTTATTTTTACCAGCCACACAGCAATCAAAAGAACCTGCTTTAGCTCATAACCTGCTGAGATCTAGAGCTAGAGTCCCTCTCCTCTTTTTGAATGTATATTCTGTTTATCTATGTAAGAAAGTTAAATTTTTATCCATAACAGTTGGGGTTTTTTTCTACTAAGCCTTCCCTCTGCTGTGAAAAGGAACACTGTCAAACCCAGTTCATTTCCCTTTTGCCGAAAGACTATGGATGACAGTTCACTGCCTTTTTCTATTTGGTGTATCATTATTCAAATATCTTTTTCTAAGATTTTTTCCATATATACTGTAGACAACAGTTCTTAGGTGTACAAGCTTATCTGTGCCAACATATTTTATGAGACATTAATTGACAGACATTGCTGTGAGATTAGCATGGATGAGTACATACCCTTAGCTTTTAGAATCATTATGTACATACATTGCAAATAACGTGGGAAAGATTCTCTTGGTAACCTGCAAGACTTGCATGTAGAAGGATGTATGTAAGGACATGTCAAAGCGTATGCTTTGGTGTCCTTTAGCAAGGCAACAATTGTACTTACAGATATTTATTAAAGTGCGTTTGAAAGGTCTCATTTGTTCCCATGGCTACCCAAAGAAATACTAATACCTCGAGCAGAAAATGCCATCAGCGGAAACCATCCCATAATGATAAGGACTATCTTGAGGAATAGATTATCATGCATCATTAAAAGCCATGCCTCTTGATAAATAAGTTATGAAGTTTTATAATTTATTATTTTCCCTCTTCAGAGTAGAGGCATTTCTCACAATCCCTTTCTAGAGCTGACTCTAGAGAGCCCATTTCTGGAGAGCATCTCTAGAGTTGGGTCTAGGACAATTTGTACAGGTCATTGCTGCAGCTGGAACCATTTCTGGCGTCTTTTTTAAAGCTGGCTCCATAATTTCTGAGATTGAACTAGAACCTGAGCTGGATCTGGAGCCATTTCTAAAACCTGACCTGGAGTCTTTTTCTAGAATGCCTTTTCCTGTAGAGTCCTGCAAACTGAAATAGCTTTTCAACTGAGAATTCACTTTGAGAATGTGAATAATACTAGTGTCTACAGAGTAAAAAATAGAGTATTTTGAAGAACCTGAATTACCTCAAGCCTATGAATTCTCTCCATTGTTATTCAAGGGAATATTTAGAAAAAAATCTCCACAGTCAGCTTCCATGCAGAAATTAAAATATTTACCACATGCAGATTCTACACACACCCTTTATTTCTATTAATTTACACATCTGCTATTAAAAATATGAACTATTTTTAAGAATGTCACCTTTAGCAGGCAAAACTGACATGGATCACCAGGAAATACTCACCTTCAGAAATGGCTAGATGTAAAACAAAAGATCTCCCAAATCATCATTCTCATCCATTTGTACAGTATCTAAATACATCAAACATGCAGTGCACAAGAGCATTACAGAAATACGAAGGGGCAGATGGTCACAGAATAACAAAGGAGTGCAAAGAGAATGAATGAATATTTTAAAACTGCAAACAGATCAAAACAGCAGACATTTAAATGTACACAGCATAACTTGGTATTACAGGAAGTAACACTTTCATACAGAAAAGGTGTATTAGGCATTCAGATTCCACTTCCAAAATCTGTATGCAAAGCCATGCTTTTCAAGTAAGTTGGCATAATTTTTGCATTCTTGAAGTTTGATTGGTTTAGTAAAATTTCACTTTCTTTGTAGATTTATCATAAACCAAGTTTCATGCTATGGTTTGAAGAGCATAAAATGTAAAAGCTAAAAACTCTTAAATAAAAAACAAAGAATGCATGTGTTACATATTCAATGCCTGTCTCAGAATGAAAAATATTAGCTTTCTACTAAGGAATACAAACACATCCATAGGATTTTACTAGTACATCATTTTTACCCATAAAATTTAGACAGGTAGGTCTAAATAGGAAATATGTGAAAAATATTTATTATTTATATACAAATGGCATTTAGTGATCAAAATAAATCACTGTAACAGTATTCCACACTGGCCCTTGTCAGAGTTTCAAACAAGTATGCCAGGACATTTTCTTCACTTATGTACCAAACATTAGTTTGGTATGATAGGTATCTTTTAGGAATAATCTCTTCTCCTTTCTCCTTCTGCTCTCAATGTCAATCATTGGTGATATTCATGTATCACATGTCTCAGTTCACTAGTATCATTTTCTTCAGCATAGAAAACAAAACTGGAGTGTTAGGAAGGCTCTTTCACGTATTTAGGGCAAACGTGGATTCAAACAATTCACCAAGCACCCTGACCACTCAAGTGACACCGCGGTTAAGTGACACTATGGTAGAAAATAAATTTAGGAATGAATGAATTTATGAATTTAAGGAGAGTTCACATCACACTTGACACGGCCATTTCTGTTCACTGGAAATCGAAGGCAAGCCTGCAAGGGTTCTGAAGAGCATTAGAGCTCTACGGATCAAGCAATACCTAGAAATCAGTGGTGATTTCTTGTCTGCAGAATGGAAACCAAGGACAAGGGGACACCTCTTCCCCTGTATTGTAACAGCAGCTAAAGAACAACTCCATATTCCAACAAATATCATATGTATGATAACGCTGCAAACCTTAAAAAGTATTTTAGATGTATTAAATCAAATGTAAAGCTTAGCTGTGAGGGTGTCTCTAAATTTCCAAGGCTTCAGTAGAAGAAATGAACATATGCAACAAAATAGCAAATCCGGCATTACTTTCCCCACAACTTATTTTTAAATACATAAAAATCTGAAACCAATAACAATTCGAGTCATGCAAGGGAAAAGGGGAATATTTAGTTAACTGTTACCTCAGGACACCTTCACACAACAGGAAGAAAACTAATTGCTACTTATGACCTTCTTAAGGGCTAGGGAAAGGAACTGTGAAAACCTAATTCTCTAATGACTTCAGTGGGAAGTCTAGTCACACAGCAATGTTAGGTAACAGTATCAAAAGAAGAAATAAATTATACCACAACTACCCTCATTTATCTGTCCTTCTCTTTCTTAATTTTGTTTGTCCAGTGTGGCTGTGACATTAAAGCTAGGCCCTTAGTTTTGCAACAATTTACACATTCGTCCCTGAATAAAACAAAGCCAATACAACTGTATAAATCAGACTTTACAGGGTAGGTCTTGGAAGGAAGAGATTAAATCTAAAAATCAGCAATGTGTTTTTAGCTCTATCTCTTTGCTTTTAAAGATCTGCTTTGTAAAATGATTCTGACAGTAAGGTAAAACTACGCTTTCCCTAGTTTCCTGTGTGCAACAGTAATCTATCACAGATAAATTACGATTTTAAAAAACACATTGTAAAACCACTCATCAGATAAAAACACTCTTATAACATAGTTATCATATCAGCAACTGGAAATTTTGTTTGATTGCCAGGAATATAATAATGCATTATAATTCCTTTCAAATCTAATGTACAACATGGCAAAGCTGTGAATAGGGCTGCGCACACAATCAGCAGTCTGATGACACTATCAACTATGGTCAGGCTGCTTTCTATGCATGAGAAATTTTTCTGTTGGCTAACAAAGATGGCACAGCTTGCCTAAGATTGCCAGAACAATATCGTTTGTTGTATAAGTAAAAGCTAATACATTCAATTATAATAATTTTCTTTTAGTATTCAAATGCTAGCAGGATTTTTTATTTGTTTATCAGAAAATATCTTTATCATAAACTGGAGTTTCCCAAGCTCAAGTGTGTTAGAAACCAGGAAATGGCAAAGGAAGTGGAGTTGTAACCTTAGTAAGGGAGCTTTGTAAGAATAAAACCTTGCAAACTGTTTCCATAAAGTACAGTTTTAAACCACATTATACAGCTACAACTGACACCACTTTAGTTTTTGGCTGGAGTCTAGAATACACAAACCAAAAAAAAGCTGTGACAACCTCCCACTGACAAGTATACTAAATTGATACTTGATTATTGATAAATATCAGCTTGCTGGTGCAGGTTGTCACAGCAGTACACAGCTCTACAATGCAGGAAGTGCTAAACTTTGTGTCAAGGTAACCTAGTCATACTCTTTCTGTACGACAGATCTTGAAGCACCCATTAAAAATATTTTGCAATGTGACTGGTAAACACAAATAACACTTCAATTACTTTATGGATATTTGAACAAAAGCAAAAGTTGGGCTTTCAGAAAAGGACACTTGTCTCTAACTACAGGGGAGAATATTTGTACAGGTGCACCACCCACCTCTGTGTGCAAAATAATGTTTCTCCCTGCTGGAATATTATAGAATAAAGAGATTAGTGCCTCATTTAATGAATATTTTTGGCAAGCATGGTGAACGTGATGTCAGACAGATACAGGCACTAGAATCACACAGTTCAGTCAAAAGAGCAAACACTGGTAGGATGACATAAGAATCTCAAGTGCATGCAAAAAAGCCATCACTTAGAAGCTTGAGTAAATGCAGAGGCCATCTTACAAGTAGCAGCAGCATACACAATGTTAACTCAACTGCTTACCCACTAAGTACACCAAGAACCAGGTTAAGTACGAAAAATGAGCCAAGGATGATAAGACTAACAAAATAGATCCATGGCCATTCACATCCTATTGCATCATTTACCTGTAAAATGTAAGGAAATAAGTTATGATTCAGGCATTCATTAAACAGCAGAGTCCTTTTTGCAGCTGCCAGATCACGTAGGTTTCAACACTGAAAGTTTATGGCTTATTCAGTTCTTTAAAAAAAAAAAAAAATCAATGAACATTTGTTTAATTTCTTTACTTACCCCAATTATGTTGTAGATATGATGCCTTAGAAGATGAATTAAAATAACATTTAAATAAGTGCAGGAAAATTATTAGTCCTTTTTATAATTTTGCCACAAGTATAAACATGAAGAACATATACTGGTATGTCTAAATTCTGATTTTGGTATTTGTATGTTTTTTATATGATAGCTACAGAAAACTGTTTCTGTTCTAATTAGAAGAGGAAGAAATAGAGGTTTATTAAAACATGTGATCACAACTGAATTCTCACCTGTATAAGATAACCTGTGTGTTCATGGCAACTGAATTCAGGACTCTGCCTTCATGATGAAAAAGGCGTATGCTTACCCGCTCAACACACCAAGAACAAGATTTAGTACGAAAAATGACCCAAAGATGACGAGACTGACAAAATACACCCATGGCAATTCAAATCCCATAGCATCATTCATCTGCAAGAAATAAGATGATCTTATAGAGTAGATCACTATAGTAATAGCAATGAAGAGTCAGAGAAAAAGAGAATCTAATCATTCAGGTGAGATAGCGTTCTATGTATTCCTTTAGTATTCAAAGAAGAACAATACAAGAAAGAAGCCACTGGCCACATTCACTCTGCATTTCTAATACATACTCTAAAACAAAACACTGAGTGAACCTAGTGTTCAGATCAAAAATATTATCAAACATAAATGGAGCAGTGCAACAGTTCTGTTCTTCAACACCTAGAACATGAACTAAATTTCAGATCTCACTAGTTGAAATGATGCTTACAAAGTATATTGAAATATTAGGATTTTTAGCTAATATATATCCTAGCTACGTGAATGATCTTTTGAGAAAAGAAATATGTAATATGTATCTCAACAGTACAAGCAATATTATTTTTTTATGTAACATGGAATTTCAATATTTTTCTCCTGAAATACTACAGTTGGATGCAGTCAGACATCTTAAATTAATTCAAAAAGAAATAAATGAGAATGAATTTGTGTAAGAACATGAACACAATTTTAGGAAAATGAAAAACTGAAATAAAATTTTAGAAACATAGTGGAAACATGGAAATATTCCAGAAACACTTCTGAACAAAAATTGTATCAAGATCAAGGTTAAATGAAGTTTAAAAAGTTGTTACTTTTTTTTTTGAAGTAAGGTTGAAGTAACTGAGCTTTAAATACACTCATAGACTCACACAAGCTTTTCTATAAAAACCTTTTCCACTGTCTATTCTTAGCAAGCTCATTATACCTATCAGAAGATGGACTTAAACATAACCATAGAAATGTAAAAAGGCCTATTCAGAAAAACAGGTATTTTAAAACAAGGGAAATTGTTTTTGTGTGTAGCATTCAGGTGCAAAAAGACATTTTGATAAGTTACAAAAATAATTCTGACTTGGAACTTCTTGGAAACGTCTCTTGTGGGAGAGAAATTATTCTGGCTCTTTTGTTTATACTGACAAGTTTGCATTAGATTCTTCTTCAGATGCTTTTTAGCCATGAAAATTCAGCAGACAATAAAAATCGCATGTGCATTTGAGACTGGATATGGTATTGTAGAACAATCTTTGGGCGAACGTTTTTCCTTTTCTGTGAATGCTGTTGTGTTTGTTGTATGTGAAATTTGTGATTAGGCTTTGAGCTCTATTGATAGTCAAGTTTGACTTAGGTCCTTAATATCTCTGTTGGAATAGACATAGTAAACATGGAAACAAATGTTTTTCAAACTGTACTGCTTATTTTGTTTTTTCCTCTATCTTTTGAAAATGCATCATAATCTCAGTTTCTGCAAGGTGTCCCTATGGATGGTTAGATATAAGCACACGCATTAAGTCTTTGCAGGTTAAGGCCCACAGGCACTTGTTGTCAATGGTGATATAATGCCACTTTACACTAACTAAAGTAAACAAACTAGCTAAGTAACCAAAGAAGATTATTTTACACAATTTCTTCGTGCATCCTTTAAAATAATCTCTCTATGTATCACCTTTTAAAATGCTTTAGTAATTGAACTGAGGTACTGACAAGTAACTTAAAATTACTTAGACTTGCTAGGAAAAAAAAAAGAAAACTGCAAAATATATATTCTATTTGGATTTTTTCCTTTTAATTTCAATAAAACTGTATTTTGGAGAAATTAAAATGGAGAAGGGTTATAGCCATTCAGAAAGGCTGGGATCATTACCTTCAATTTTAAAAGATCCCAACTTTCCGTAGTCCAATTCTGCAACAGCATATTCATATGGAGAATAAAGTCTGTCATAATGCTCCCATTATACTGGCCTACTTAGTCTCCTGTGCAACACTTTTAGCAATACTTAGCCTTTCAGGTGCCTATGCTAAGGAGATCAACTGTGGGTTCATTTTTTGGGGGGTTTTTTGTTTTGTTTGTTTTTGGGGTGGTTTTTTTTTATCATCCATGCCTATTCCCTCAGAGCAAGTCCCCTACATTTGAGAAGTCTTAACAATGAAGAGGCTCAGGTATTTAGCAAAATACCCTATTGCCCAGACTGAATTTCTGCTTTGTCCCAGTGTATGTTGCCCTTTGCATCTTCTTTCAATTGTAGGCATCTAGCCTTAAGGTTTAGAAATAAAATTTACTCAATGTTTTTTTAAAATGCATATTCATAATTATTTTATTACTTTAGAATTGAATTTGCTTCATAGAAATGATTCATATGATACAAAGTGGTTTTCTAACAATAGCTGATGAGTGAACATTTTGATTAAATTTTAAATACATATCATAGAATCATTAAGGTTGGAAAAGACCTCTAAGATCATCAAGTCCAACCATTAACCCAACACCACCATACCCACTAAACCATGTCCCTAAGCGCCTCATCTACACGTCTTTTAAATACCTCCAGGGATGGTGACTCTACCACTTCCCTGGGCAGCCTGTTCCAAGGCCTGACCACTCTTTCAGTAAAGAAGTTTTTCTTAATGTCCAATCTAAACCTCCCCTGGTGCAACTTGAGGCCATTTCCTCTCGTCCTATCGCTGGTTACTTGGGAGAAGAGACCAACCCCCACCTCGCTCCAACCTCCTTTCGGGTAGTTGTAGAGCGCGATGAGGTCTCCCCTCAGCCTCCTCTTCTCCAGGCTAAACAGCCCCAGTTCCCTCAGCCGCTCCTCAGAAGACTTGTGCTCCAGGCCATTCACCAGCTTCATTGCCCTTCTCTGGACATGCTCCAGCACCTCTATGTCCTTCTTGTAGTGAGGGGCCCAAAACTGAACACAGTATTCAAGGTGTAACCTCACCAGTGCCGAGTACAGGGGCACGATCATATGAATGCATTTTGCATCTAACTGAACTATACCACTAGCAAACAGTTGTTTGCAAATCACCAGGGTTCAGAGTGAATGCATAAATTCATCTGGTGTTGATGCCAACATTTTCCTGCTATAAATCTTTTTGAAAAACCTGAGATTAATAATTGCAATTTTACTTTGAGAAAAAAGAGCTCTGAGAATCACTGCAATCCCACTTGATACACTCTTTTTGCTCACAAAGAGAACATATTCAAGCAGCCAGGCATTGTGCTAACTTGGTAACCCAGGAGGAGCAAAGCTGAAAGTTCCATGCTCTGTCATAAAGGCTCTATTAGCATAGGAAACTGCGATTTGCATTTCCTTCATTCACTTTATAGTGCGTAACATATGAAAAAAATTCCTTCTCATTTATGCAGTTTGATTTCCAGCCCAGTGTTTTAGGCTAACCTATCTAGGACTAATGACCTGTAATGTAAAAATTGGAAACTGCAGCTAACCAGTGCTAGAAGAAATTCTTTGGTTTGGGCAGATGTTCAACTAATTCAAAAGCATTCCTAAGTCAGGAACCCTTAATCTAGTAGAACACCTTGGCACTATTGAAGATTGAATTCCTAAAAGCAACAGCCTGAAATTGCATCTACTCAAGAATTTTACAATTTAATTCTAGAAACAATTAAACCCTATTCAAGTAACGCATTGTAATTTCTGTTCATGAAGTAATATTTCTGATTGCATTAATACCAGAGATGAAAGTATAAAAAGAAGTCCTTTCCTTTTGGAAAACTTCACTGCTCATTTCATGCATGTCAAGTGGCATTTTCCATAACTTTCAATTAAAGAAAGATTAAAGGAGTCAATTTGCCTTCTGATTAAAAATTGAGGCAGAACTTGGTTAATACATGAGCACAGGAAAATCTCCATCCTCAGAAACAAGGTATTTTCAATTGAAAGGATTAATGCTGACTTCTCACCCAAAGTGCAGAATAAGGAGTTACAAAGACACAAATTCCAGATGCATTGGAAGTCACAACTAAGAAACAAACAATAAAAGCCCCTGAATTATGGTAAATCTAGGACACATCACATCTCAAATCCTCAGCAAAAATTCTTGCAAGACTCCCACCCTCTGTGGCTCAGGGATTTACTATACTGAAGAAAGTGTCATATTTAATGGTTCTCAATGGACTTGTTCCATCTCTTTTTGATAAGCTTTTAGCATCCATAACACCTATTGCAAAGACACCCCCAAGTACCATCCTTCTTGCCCTTCTTTGTGCCTTTTTCCAGATCTAGTCTTATTGTTCAGATTTCAGTTCTAATTAGTTTGTCCATCACATCAACCAGAGGACAGATGAGATGATGGATGATATGAAGGACAAAGTATTTTCCATATCACTTAATTCTGTTTCACCATAACAGTAGATGTATACTACTCAGATGAGTGTTTAAAAATGCTTATTTTCCAGAAGTGCCACTTTTGGCTATGCTTTGGCATTTCCACTCCTTTCATACAGATGTTAAATTAGATTTGTATGTTTAAACAGCTTTGAAAAGAATTTTGAACTCAACTCTGA